CCCTTAGAAAGTCCTCCACGAAGGCATCCCTCTAGGCAGATAACCCTCGTGTGCTTGCCATAATTAAATAATCCAATAATCCAATCGATGCTATTGTAAGGTTATAATGCGACCTAGAGAGTCCTCACATGTACACGCTTCAGGTACCGCTCTGTAGATTGAATGGGACGTGTTAGTAAACAATGCGTTGTCTCATTTTTATGTGTTGTAAACAAAGTGTTGAGTACATCATATTTTACGGGTGTGCATGTCTTTCAATTAAAGGAAGCTATGCAAGAGGGTTTTCTTTACACGAAGACCATCGATTACGATTTTTTACTCAATTATTCTAAAGCTGTTGGCAGTTCTCTAACCAGTGTTTTGTTAATTGGAAGATGTAAGGCATTTAAGGCCATGTATTAGTTCTATATTAAAGTTGTTGATATTATAGGGCGACATCGTATATTGTGTATCGTATAAGTGTGTTGCCTTCAGACAATCTCGGCATTTTGGAACGGTTTTCAAAGTGAGTCTTGTAGGGCCTTCCTTTGTGCCAGTCTATAATCTTCTTAATATTCTATCTCGCCGAATAATGCCATTTATATGACTTCTGTATGTCATTTACTGGCTTCGGATCTTTTCTTTATGAAAAAAATGCTACGGATCGACAAGGTTGCATAATATAAACTAGAACATGTGAGCATTGCTTATTTGAACTGACTGAAACGATGTTATATTTTTTCCCTTATTGCCAATTTTGTAGGATTTTCGATTTATCATCTGAGTGAAGCCTAGCAACACTGACAATGTTTATTTCAGATGAGTAGTGTCGTATGCAAGGCAGTCTTTAATAGTATATTTATTCCTGTGTTTTAGTATTTATACGGTATTTGATTAATATTGATACTGGGAAAAACTGCGTTATGTGTTGCTTGGAAACAACGGCGTGAAAACTTCTTTGTATGTGGGGAAGGGGGTATTCTTTCGTTAAGAACCCAAACTATTGTTTATAAAGAATTATTAGTTAAATAATAATTTAAATTTAGACGTACTTGACTTTCGTGGATATGATGTGAAACAGGACCTGTTCATAGTTGATGACAAGTGTAATCGTTGACATCCAGAACACTCGAGTGCGTTTCTTCGAATTCTGGAGTACTTTTCTCAAAGCGTTCACATCAACGGGTTGAATCTCTTGGAATTTAGACTTTTTTTATTGTTCAGTTATATGAGGTGTGTTTTTATACATTTTGTCATTCATTAAGCGCCAAAGAAAATCATGGAAGAGATCTGTGTGGCCAAAGTTTTATTTATTTATTGTTATGATGATTTTTAATTTTGTAAGCCTGTTGATCTATCACCTGCCTACTTCTTTCGTTATGGAGGGAGGAGGGCTGTAGAAAGGTAAAGCGTACAAAATTCAGTTGTATACGATCGAACATGACAGTGATAATTAACGCCAATGGACCGTTCCCACTGGGGTTTATCTGAGCTAACGGAGTCAGTTCCCTGTGTCGACTAGCTTTCAACTTGCTACCCTATGGGAAAAAAACTCGTTTTGGAGATGGGTCAGCTACGTCAGTTGTGTTCGTTAGCTCAGATAAACCCCAGTGGGAACGGCCCTTAACCCTTTGCGGCACAGTGTGTCCGGTTTGGACACACCTAAAAATTTCCTTCTGTACGCACAGAAAAATTGAATGAAAAAGGATTTATAGGTTACTCTGAACCTTCTTTATTTATAGTACACTCATGTCCATAAATTAAGGATAATGCAAAATCAGGCAAAGGAGGAGTTAGAAGCAAAACAAATTTGACTTATTTGTAAAGCTTATTTATTAAACAAAAGGTAAAGAGCAAAAAAAGATGCTATATGTTTGATATTATCAAAAAAAATTAGCGATTTTTTTCTTTCTGGAGCAAATTAAAAAAAAAAAGAAAGAAACCTATGTTCAAAAAAAAACAATATTACATGGTTGGTATGATTGTTGATACATTGTATGTCTCCCAGACGATGCAATACAGTCCGTACAACGCCTAGGCATGCTGAGTATCAAATTATCGATCTGATCTTGGGGGATATTAGACCACTCAAAAAGCAATGCTCTCCGAAGTTCCGGTAGAAATGTAAGAGGAGGTTGACGGGCTCCAACTCGTCGGCCAAGCATGTCCCACATGTGCTCTACTAAATTCAAGTCCGGTGAGAATGCTGGCCAGTCCATACGGGTGATATCCTTCGATTGAAGGCATTAACTTACGATGTTTGCACGGTGAGGACGGGCGTTGTCATCCATAAACACAAATTGTGCGCCCATGGCGCCCCGAAACAATCGTACATGTTGTTCCAGAATGGCTTGTCATGGTTCCGATTTGAACATGCAGGTCAGTTCTGGAACCCAGAATAATTCCACCCCAAGCGAGCACTCCTGCACCACCGTAACGGTGTCGTTCAATGATGTTTTCTTGGCGGTAACGGGTAGCTGGAGCTCTCCATATGAAAGTCCGACGAGAATCAGACTGCAAGCTAAACCTGGACTCGTCGGAAAACATCACACAAAGCCCACTGTTGCGGTGTCCACAATATATGTTCTCTACTCCAGGCTAACCGTAGGGACAGTGAGTTGCAGTAAGTGGAACGCATCTGACAGGTCTACGAGCATATAGACCAATCTGCCCTAAGCGTCTGTACACGGTCTGCCTTGAAATTGTCATACCAGTGGCTGAAGAGAGCTGACGAGACAGGTCTGAGGCTGTGCTCCGCCTGTTTCTTTTGGCAGTAACTGCCAAAATAGCGTCCTCATTCGGCGTTTGAACTCTGGTCGGCGACCTGTGCTGGTAATTACTCACATTACCATCATCTCTTTGCCAAAGCCTGGAGATGACACTCTGGCAATTCCAATTCGTCTGATACTTCCAGTTGGGTACGCCCACGTTCCAGTGGCGATAATTCTACACGTAAAAAATCATCCAAATGCGTCCTTGTGTCATAACTATTCGGTTATTGCACTGAAATGCTTATAAAGCTCCTGCGAACAATTTACTTCTTTGCCTTATTCCTCTTACACTCTTGTCATTGTGACGTACCATCGGTGTGCATCTACTTCCTGAAAATTTGCATATGATTTTGAAGATGTATGTAGTGATTCAAGTGATATTTATTTTAGATTTTCGATTTCCGCGTGACTCCGAATACCTTAATTTTGACATGAGTTAGATGGAGCTCAACACAAACCATAGTCATATATTTTTAGCCTGTTTAGTTTTTTAGAACCCTCATTTTTCAAAATCTTCCAATTGTTTTAGGGGTAAAAAGGAATTGTTTGAAAAGAATTTCTATGTCATTTTTTTGGCTGTATGCTTAATTCCCTTAACTTATTAGTTTTTAAATTTGTACCTTGGAATCTTGCCTAAATAAAAAAATCCCAGACCGGGCTCACTGTGATAATCTAGGACACTGAGAATCTGTATTATTTATTCTTGATTTTCCGCATCTCATCGTTCAGTTCTTCATTGCCAAACAGCTCGTTCCAGCACTCTTTTCAGTGGTCAGTGTTGCCCACTGGGCACACCAAAAAAAAAAACGATAAGTGCTATCTTCACAAAATTTTACTTGTGTACTCCTCTAGGCCTAATAAGGCTGCCTATCTTAACTCCGAATTTAAAAGGTAGCGTTCCGGAAAGAGTTAAGAGATTCAAGCTGTTGATGTCCACACTTTGGGAAAAGTATTTCATAACTCGGAGAAACGTGTTCAAGTGTGCTTAGATGAAAAAGGTGCCAGTTTTCTGTATCAATTAATGACTTTATCCCCTTTTTCTGGAGAGGGTATGGTTGAAAGTAAGAGAATACAAATAAGCGTTATCTCATTAATACATTTTGTATATATAATAAGGGGGGTCTGTAGCAAATGAATAGTTGGGAGCCACTCTGTATTAATTATAGAGTGTATATATATATAATTGTAAGAAAAGCGTGAAAAGTATGTTCTAGAATGCTTTACACATGCTTTCTTCATAGAACTTTGAAGATTCATTCACGATTATTATTTGGAAAAGACTGCTTACATTAAACGAAGATTTTTGTATTATATCCACATTAAATTAAATGAGCAGTTGTATATATGTGGGGCAACTGATCGGCATACGGAACCTTTTAGGGTACTTTTAAGAATTCCTTTAATGGGTCTTTATGTTTTTATCGTTATGATGGTTTTGAAGAGAACTACGCCAACTATTTTAAGCGGAAAAATATGTTGGAAATTTTAGACTTCTTTTGTTACGTATTGGTTGGGAAATGAAGCACTTAAGAATTAGTTCAGTTTTTCAGATTTAATTTTCAATAGTTTCGATAGTCAGTTTCCTATTAATTTTGATATTTGATTCAAAAGTAAGTCTATGCCTTTTTTTTAAAGTGCTAAGTAATTTTTTTATGAAAATAATTCCAGTTTTACTTTGCAATTTAAGTAGTTTCATTTTCATTTGTTTGTCTGTCCCTTCATAGGAGGTAACGGCGGCCGCATATTAGGTGTCTTCACAATAAAATAGCAAGGCAAGAACTGGTGGCCTTCTGGCCTTAGGAGTGGCCAATGCCGTTATAGGCAAGTGCCCGCCATTGGGGGCGGGGGGGGAATATTAATCGGGAGTTTAGGCTACATATGTTTGGCTGTACCATGAATTCCCGCTATGCAAGTTTAATTTTATTTAATTCGTCAAATTATTTTGAAGAATACGCAATTTAGTGCGTAACTTTGCCTTGTCATTAATCTTTGTATAAATTAAGTTATGATGGTATATTGCGCATTTATACAGTTCAAATAATTTTTTACTTTTGCTCTAAAATTCAGTTTTGGTAAACAGAAATTGGTGGGAACTGGATTAGAAGGAGATTGCAAATAAAACCTCGTACTTTTCTGGTGTTATGTATCAGATTCTGTTGTGTTATACTGGAGCTGAATTTGTTGATTGTAACTTTAGTCATTTCGTAATATGATTTCTTTATTTAATTTATTTTTGTTTTTCAGTGTGTTTTGGGACTTGTATTGTGCTGCGCCTGAACGGAGGGATACATGTGAACATTCTAGTGAAGCTAAAGCATTTCATGACTATGTAAGTACTCATTTTATTTATTTATAATGAAAAAAAAAAAAAGTCTATCTAGAACTCGACTGTACTTCAAACACTGATTCTCTTCAATGGGATATTCGTAAATTGTTCGATATTCAAAAATATCAACCTAATGAAGTTTTGTTAGTGTGAAGATTTTTTTAGAAGGATAGAAGGTTGGGCAACTTGTATGAGGTAAATTTCTATAACTGTATATAGCTTTGCAATTCTTTTAATGTGGAAACATTAATGTTAATGGCGCTGCAGATGGAGGGGAGTTGTTTTAGAAACATTAAAAGAGTATTCCTGAAAGAACCAATAAAATTCAAGAATTCAAAAATGTGTTTAACCAAGAAATAGCTTGATAACCGTGTGCTAGTATTTCAGGTGGCGATAGGATCATAAAGAGAATTTAAGTAGTTTTAGTGCTTGGAGAATATTTGTTGTTTGGGCAACATTAGGAGACGTTTTTACGGTTTCATTCTTCAATACGAAATTCGCTGATGATTTTTTACTGGATAATTCTCTGTTATGCTAAGTTAGCTTAATTTAAAATTCAATTATTTGTTTTTTAAGGTCTGAATTATTTTTCAGTTTAATTATAAATTCGATTATTTCTACTTTATGGTCATTCTTCAGTTTCATACTTACAATTGTTGGCGGAATTTTATATTCTTTTCAAAAGAAGGATATTTCATCTTTTTACGAAAGTCTCTTGGTGTTTGCTGCTGCGAATCGTAGGACGTATTGAATGCGCTTTGGGATGAGTTTCGGAATAAAATGGGTACGATAGGGTTTGGACTTACAAATTTTTAATTCGTTACAAGTTTTGGATATTTTACATAAAAATCTGCAGTAAATACATGTATATTACTAATTGCTCTTACATTTGTTTGTGTGTGTGTTAGCTGTCATCTTCATTTTCCTGTCTGTCTTTCCATAACGCTTTTTGTTTCAATTGCTTCCGATGTGTGTCACGTGACGTTTATGCTACTCTTATGGCTTCCTCACTTTTTTCCTCTTTACTTCGGTTTGTTGCTGGTTTTATGTTGCGACACCGGCACACCTGATACCTCAGCTGCGCATGCGAAGGTGGAAAATAGCTGAATCACCGTTCCAGCGTGTCTTTGGGAACGACCTCTGTGCTGCAACTGAAATTTGATGCGAAATGTCGAGCTGCATTAAATATTTCGGAACTTGCAACCAGTATTTAGGACACTTCAATAATAAGTATAAGAAATAATAAGTATATTCTGTATAAGAAAATGAGAAAAATTATTAAATTTTATTTCATATTATATTTTAGAGCCTTTAATTTAAATTATTCACCTTCAGCAAATTTATATGAAACTCGGATTGGACTTGGAAAATTGACTTACTAAAAAAGAAAGCAGAAGCCATGGTGCATAAATGAACTAGTAATATAAAATGTGAAGTGTTTAAGTTTCTTCGGAAATTCTTGGAAATTTTACATCAGTGATTAGCGAATATCCAAATCTCTATTCAATAAAGATTTTAAGAACTAGTGGTGGACACGTTTAACGAAAATTAACTGGAATATCTTTTTTAATTATCCTTTTAAAAGTGCTCGAATTGGCTTAAGCATATCAAATTAGACTTTTTTTTTATATTAGCCATTAATTAATGTCTTTCTTCCCTTTTTCCTCCCCCTTTCTTGTGCCTCATGCTAGTTTGTTTAAACACTAATAGAATGAATGTGTTTGATGTTACTTATCTTTTTCTTTAACGTATGTTCCTCCGTTTTTTCCATTTAAAATCCCCTTAATATTAAACCATTTGATGGCATCTTTTAGAAAAGTATCTGTCAATCTCAAACTGTCAATATTTGAGTAAAATATATTTGAGACTCCTAATATAAAAATACATAATAAAAATATTAGGTGCTAAATCAGCGGACATAAATTAAAAAATGCATTAATTAATGATCTATAGTGATGCAACGCTATTTTGCGTTTTTCCAAACTTTCGAAATGCTGTTACCCGAGCTCAAGATGAATATGAAAGAAAGCAAATAAGGTAAAACTAATTGTATCGAACTTCACCACGACTGGCAAAGCTTTATAAAAAAGTTAAAGCATATTTCTATTGCAGAGTAAAAAAGCAAATTTTATTTTGAAGTGGTAAAATTCTTTAAGAAAGCAAAGAACATAATTTTTCTTACAAAGTAGCTTCTTATTTATTATTTATAATAATCTTAGAATTTTGAAATGTCAAAAAAGTCTCTTATATGTGGTTCTTTTTGAATTTTTCTGTTAGAAAAGCCCTTTATGAATTTCTCTTTCTAATAAAAAATTAACAATTTATTTTGCTTCTTATGAGAATAAATGAATTCATAACGGCGGGGGACTCCATTAGCAGAAGATCCGTTCAGACTTCAACTTTTGGTTAGTATTCTATAATAAAAATTATGTGAAATTGATTTCCTTCCTCTCTCTTTCACACATACGTAAACGTTCTGTATTTTCATTGTCTTTTTCAACATGAATTCAGACTGCTTGACAAGGCTTAGAAATAGCTGTTCTATAGTGAGATAGGACAGTACTGTGGTATTCGATTGAGAAGGAATATACGGATGGCGAAAATGAATAGCGACTATTAAAAATTTGGGTTCATTGCCAATAGCCAGCTGGAAGACATCGGATTCCGTGGACCGAAACCAATCCTACCGCTCCAAAATCCGGGAATTTCGAAGACATGCCGTGCATTAAACGTTTAGGGTGACACGCGATCGTCTGCTCGCGCCCTAGTCTCCACCCCTTTTTCACCTGAACCTCACTCACCCGAGGAGCCTTCTTCATTTCTTGTTTGCTGTCGACTTCTCTTTGTTTATATGTGCTTTTCAACTCTTTCGCGTTAAATGGACCGCTTTGACCATCTGATATGCAGACACTTGGAATTTTCGATCGCATGTACTAATTTGTTTCAAGCAGTCGTTTTGTAAATATTTCTTTTCGTAAAAATACTCGATAAATATGAGTACTGTCTACTCTAGAAAATATGCTTCAGTGGAGATGAGTAGAATATATAAAATATTGAAAGTAGTGCATGCTAGCGTAGGAAAATTTTTGAATATTAAGATCTAGTCAAGGATGGAAAACTTATGATCAGTTTTCTCTACCTTCAAAAGCAAAATTTTATTGCATTATCGTAGAGTCAAATTATTTTCATGTATTTTTTTTAAATTTATATGTGCGCTGTGTGACTGTAAATAGTGAAGAATTCAGTATGTCGTTACAATAATTTTAGTAGCGGATACAGCAACTTCTGACAAGCAGCAATTCCTAGGACAAAATATCCCCGTGAAAAACATCAATAATTAATGAATAAGGAGCCAATTAATTTGATTTGTGGTTAACTAGGATATCTCTTAAGTTTCAGCATGCAAAATTAATTTAAACCCTCCATATTATTGGTGATGAGAAGACCAAACTTGTAATTCATACCCACTTTGAGTTCTTAGTGAAACTCTGGTCCTTTCGTAATTTATCCTGTGTACTGTAATTCGAATATGAAACAGTTTCTATTACAAAATTCCTTACAAATTCATCCGACTTAAGATAATCCATAAGTTCTTTGCTTTAGCTAAAAAATCAAAATAAAACCACGGAAACACGTGACAAGAGCTGTTCTTACGTACACTTGTGTGCAAAATTAAGGAATTTGCACATTATTTCGAATTTCTGAAAAACTATTGTACTTATTTTAATGATATTTGGTATGAATATATATTTATAACAGAGAAAGAGATGTACTATTCAAAAGTCATTTTATGTACATATGATTTTCAGTAAAGCTCATAGAGCAGCGATGTACCGAATCCACATTATGGCATCGAACTGATAATGAAGCTAATATGGAGTATAGTTCCTTCTCAGTGCGACAGGTCGTGACGTCGTACTCGACAGGAGGCAGTTGAGGATTCCCTCTTGGAATCTCATTTCTGCAGCAAGAGTTTTCACCTCCCGGATGGCTATCGGAAGGTGATGGCGAGATGAAATTGTCTTTCCAAGAACGCCGCAAACATGCTTTATAGGGTTAAAGTCAAGAGATCTGGCTCGCGAATAAATGCGGCGAATATCCTCATTTTCGAGATAAACGTCGAAGCACCATCCTAAACACTCTCTGTTATGCGATGTAGTGAGCTGACGCAAACATCATGTCCTCTGACATAGAGTCGTTTCTCATGAAGCTTTCGGCCAACTGTAGAACGTGAAACCGAGGTTCAAGTGGCAGTATAAATCTCACGTGAGAGCTGTGAAGGTGTGTGGTCCTTCGCCGCGCTAAGAGTACCAGTGTCCAAAAACTGTTTCCACAAATTGCAGACGACATTAGGCTTTACACTCAGCTATGTAGCCACCTGCGCTTGTGATTGGTCTTTCTCCTATATACCGACAATTATCCATTTCATTCTGTCATCCTTACGTTTGTGGCCAATCATTTTACCTAATACTTTACAAAATTTTACCCAATTATTGAGAGAAACACGGCGAATGTCGTAAAGGAGTACGAGCGGACAAATCACCGAAAACTCCTTATATCCCCTAAACAATCACAGCTCCGCAGTCCCGCACGTGTACGCTTGCATATTCGGCTTTGAATATTTTCGTGTTTCTTCAGCGGCTTTGGTATCTTGGATTCAATACCTTTTGTAAAAACAGACGTAATTTGCAAAGTCTCTTAATTTTACGCAGGAGTTGTATTGCGAAGTATTTTCATGGAAATAAAGATCCGCAAATTTTCGAGTAAGAAATCTGAAAATCTTCTGAGCAGTATGGTGACGTATCATGTACTAGTTACATAATTTTATAACTATTTTACTGCATCAGTGCTCACACATTTTATTCTCTCGTCTGTACGTTTTTTTAAAATTTTCCCGTCTGTATATTTAGTTGTTATTGTGAAATGAAATTTTACTTTCTGTTAGCTAAAGTAAGAACGCTTTGCACGGATGCATCATAGCGAACATTACCTTGCTATCAACA